ATGGTGCAGACGCACTCTGTAAGCGAGCGATCGATTCGATAGGTGTATTGTCGCGCGCGGCGATTTAATTTAGTTTTTCAATCTGAATGACGAATAATCGCAAGGAAAAAGTCGGAACTTTATGGAAAATTGTCTGGACTTTAATTAAAAGATCTTTAATCGGAGTCGGCGGGAGGTGCCGAGCGTAATAAGCCAATGTTCTTCCGGTAATCCCCTTCGCATCGGCACTGCATTTTTTAATATTCTCTGTCATTTACATATTTGATGTAGAAATACAGGTGAATTCACATGAAAGTTTTCATTGATTTTTCGAGCTCCAGATGAATCGACGTGCGTCTCTTCGTCTATTCGTTAGAGCACTCGAAGAAAGAAAAAAATATCTTGTATGTGTATTGCCAACTTTATACCGTTACCCAGCAGTATCTCCGTCATTCGTCTTTTACGACGCTTCATTTCGGTTAAAGTTGAAGAAGCTTTTGATTCTGTCGCGATATTCGGCCGTCAGTCTCCGATATAGTCGACAGCAGAATGGGAGAAAAGATTTGCCGATTTGATCGCAGTTTGGATAAAACGGAAGAAGCTTGCGGAGAATGGAATTGTCAAACTTCGAAGCATTGACAAAGAAAGATCTTTCCGCTTTACGGAAGATACATTCATCTTGTGGTAGAGTTAATTGTATACGTGCCCGACGAGGTTGAATTAGATGCTTTGTGCGCGCGTTAGCTTTTAATAGATTACCGATAGGAAGTATTTAAAGACGAAAAAGGAAATAAACGGAATTAAAAACGGTAGTTTTTTTTCTCTCTCTTATACGGAACGACGTATACGTCGTCTCGCATATTGAAAATATCAATATTCTTTATTCCTCTTTGTCGTTAATGTTGATTTTATTTTTAAAGTTCCTCATATAAATGCGAGATAGATAAATGTCGAGTTCAATTGTTATTATATATAAATAAATGCGGAAATATCTGCGTTTGAAGACATTAAATTGCGAATAATAAGTTCGCGATCGTAGAAAGTTTTCTTAGCCGTTTCTTTGCGGCCACGATTTCACACCAGAGAACTTCCAGATTGAACGGTAATGGATGACAATGAAACTTCAAAGTTGGATCGAAGCTTTTGAACTTTGACAGGAGAACATATGACCTCCTATCATCGGGGATGCAGTGTAGTCGAAAGTGAAGGATCGTCATGCTTCGAACTCGCGAGATTTACTTCGCTACTACGAAACTGGAAGTGTTACTGTTCGAATATTGGAATGTTTGAAAACTCATTATTTGAATAATTATTATTATTATAGGTCACTTATCGTAAATTGGTTATTACAAAGTATAGCAATCGTATAACAGTATTCTCTATGTGATCAATTCTAAAAATTTATTAAGAAAAAAAACGAGATCTAGAGCAAAGTGGCGTTTTAAATCAAATTAATTTACGTATGTTTAATCAAATTAATTTATGTACGTTTGCATACGAGTAAGCTGAATATATAAAAGGTACCGTTTAATAAGAGAGAAAAGGAGAAAGACATTACTGTTTCGCCAGACGTATAGGACGTAATACTTAAGAAGGAAGCATTCTCGACAAAAATCTAAGAATCTTTGACGAGTGTCCAAGAAATCCTTAAAAGCCTTATTCTCCCTTTTTATTTTCGTCCGTAAATCGTCGCGGACGGGCATCCCAGGAGAATCCTCGTTGGCGCGAATGCGTCTTTACGTTCCACCTCGCGTAAAGACATCAAGATCTCGGTGTCTACGTGAGTGAATACACTTTTGAGTGCACACTCTCGTATACGTCGTCTCGCATGTTGAAGGGTCGGGCATCTCGAGCAAAGGAGCGACAGAGGAATACTATCGGCGACGCAAAGAAAGAGAAGCGAGAGAGAGAGAGAGAGAGAGAGAGAGAGAGAGAGAGAGAGAGAGAGAGAGAGAGAGAGAGAGAGAGAGAGAGAGAGACGACGGA